CAGAGGCTCACCTCATCATCAGCCTTGGGCTTCTCGAAGTAGCTGTGCCTCTTCTTTTCCTCCTCGCGCTCCCGGTCACGCTCCCTGTCCCTCTCGCGCTCCCGGTCACGCTCTCGGTCCCTGTCACGTTCCCGGTCCCTGTCACGCTCTCTCTCACGGTACCTCTCCCGCTCCTTATCCCGTGGCATCTTTGCCGTGGAGGGCACATAATCCCCGATGTCTTCAAAGATGCTAGAAGTGGAAAAGAGCCTGCAGTTATGGGTGCTGCAAGAGAAGAAGCCACAACCACCTCCCTTTGACTGGAACCTAATAAAGGAGCACGCAGCACCGACACCCAGAGCAAAGGACACCCACTAGAACTGGCTTCTACATCTCTCAGAGGTATCACTGCATTTCTGCTCTCTTTTGCTGCCTGGACCTGCTTCTTGTGGTCCAGGACAACAAAGAGCCCTTCCTTGCCTCAAGCCTGAAATACAAAAGAAGAGCTTGCCTCCAGCCTCGTCCTAAAAACCACAGGTCCAAAGAGGCAGCTCGCTCCAGATGTGCTAAACCCAGCCCTCTCCAAACCTGGTGGGCCAAAAAGACATTCCTTAGGGCAGAGAGCTGTGACCCCACAGCCTGTGGGAAGAGAGGCACTTACTTCATATCAGCTTCAGGGGGCTTCTTCTCATCCAGCTTCCCTGCAAGGACACAAGAGCAATAAGAGGCACATCATCCACTCTGCCACCTGCACTGTTTCCTTGTCCCCAGCCTGGTTTCCAGGCCCCACGAGTGGGAGGCCTGGAGGATGTCCTCCTACCTTTCTCTTCAGTTACAAACATGGTATCTAGCCCTTTCAGGAAGCCACTATATCCCTCTCCAGCAGCACACACCTCCCCAAGCAACTGGGCCGTAACCAGGGCGCAGCACGAGCCACCCTCGCAGCTCTAACTTCTCAGCAGCCAGTGCCCTGCGCTCCCACCACGGAGCATCCTGCCTGCAGGATGCAGCGCTTGGGGAACTGTAAGGAATCGCTGTCCTCTAAGTCCTCTTCACGCAGGGGAACGCAGCAAAGCAACACACATCTCCTTCTCTTGGGATGTGCTTCCAGCACTAAGTCCTCCTGCTTGGCTCCCTTCAGCTCCTACCTTTGTCTTTCTTCTTCAGCTTCTTGTTGCGGGTCCCCTGCCTGAGATAGGAGAGGATCTGCGTCAGTTTGCTGATGACAATGTCGTTGGTGGTCAGCGTGGTCTGCGCCTGAAAGAGAAATCCCCGAGGAAGCATCCGACTCCCTCGACAGGGAACCCCTCTTGGCAAGACCTGCTGTGGCCAATTCAGACCAACGCGGTCAGGCAAGCTGGACACAAGCCGGGTACCTCCATGGTGGGACAGTCAGCCTTGCTCCGGATCAGCGTGGTTGGGATATCTGTGTCGGCATATTCATCGTCCAGATCGACCACGTAGGCCATCCTCCCCGGCAGGAACAGCTCGTTCCGCTCGTAGGCTTTGTTCTTGAACAGAATGCGGTAGATGTTGCGACCTGGAGGAGCAGGAAACGCATGGGAGAGCTGCTCTTCTGGGGGCAACGGACAAGCCCATAGCAAAGTACATTTAGTTTATCAGAAACATCAGAATCACCTCCTAAGAGACATGCTTCCTCCAGCACTCAAATTCAGGATGCCTACACCTCAGACTCTCCTCCCTCAACGACTAAAGGTTTTCATTCCTCCGTTCACCCAGGATTTCTCCCACATTCACGGCACGACACAAGGTGGGGAACAGCCACACTCACACAGCCTTACCCAGCCGAGTCTTGAATTCGATTTTGTTCTCAGGATCTTCATCTTTCCTGAAGAGAAATGGAAAACAAACAAGTATTATGCTAAGTGTATGCCTCCTCTGTACCCTCCTCTCCAGGAGGCAGCTGCACTCAGGAGTGCCAAATCCTCAACCACTCACTTAGTTTCCTTCTGGGGCTTCTCCATCATTTCCTCCTCTTCTTTCTCCTTGCTGGCAATCTCAGCCCGTACCTGGCCACAGAGTAAATCCATGCATTGCAGACCAATCCATGCCACTGCTGCCCATCAGAACCAGTAAGCCCACATAAACCAGCCCCTCAACCCTTCATAAATCTCCCCCAGAAAGAGGAATCCACACTGACAAGACTGAAGCACCCCTAAGTGGCAACTACTACCCTCTGCCCACCGTCCCTGCCAGCGGGAGTGGACAGGGCAGACGAGCAGCACGGTGATACCTGTGCTCACCTTCTGCAACAGCGCAAAGTCCAGACCCTTCACCAAGTGAGTGTGCTCCATGTCACCACCCAAGAACTTGGACTCCTGGATCAACTGTCTCCTCTTCTCCGCAGCAGATTTATCCCTGTGCAACAACAACGGAGCCTGTTACAGGACAGCCCCTCTGGAGCGGACCGGCAAGACAAGGCCATGCTGCAGGCTCACGTACGCCTCTGCCGTCGGCCCCACAGCTCTGTAGTTGGCAGTTGTGCTGATCAGCTCCGTTTCCTCGTAGTCCTTGTTCACACCATCTCTCCTCTCCTTGGCTCGATCCCTGTACTTCTCAGCCAGCTCCCTCTCACGCTCTATCTCCTGCTGGCGCAGCTTTGCGTAATAGCTGGGGTTGGAGAAACAGCTCAGGGTTAGAGTGACACGTTCACCCTTCGATGCACTGGTCAGGTGACAGCCCCCAAGGCCCCCCACACATCCGTTGTGCTCCCAACCCCTTCTCCAAAAACGTACTACAGCACCATGGGACACAACATGCCTGGAGGACACCGAAAAAGATCAAACTGCTCTACTGAGGCTCACTAAAGAGCTCAGTCTTCCCTTCCAAAGGGAAAAGGTCAAGTGCGGTCCTGCAGCCCAGATGTGCCCCAAAAGACAGTTCCACCACTGCCCTGCTCTGCCAGACACCTGCAGAGCTGCTCCCATTTCTTCCAGAGGTGAAGCTTCACCCTCATCCTGCTGCTGCTGTCCCACATCTGTTTGCACAAGCAGTGACAGTGACTCAGGCCAAGCTCTTCTCAATCTGCTTGGGTCTAAAGCTCAAAATAATCCAGGCCACTCAGGGTCCTCTTTGGTTGCCCAAGAGCTCAGAAGCTGTTTCCATGGGAGGCACGTGATGTACAAAGACAAGTCCCGATGCATTGCTTTTCCCATTTACCTTTTCTTCTTCCTTCTGCGAGCAGCTGGATCTTCATCTTCATTGTACTCCCGGGGCATCCTGGAAAAGGGTGAGAAATGACAGGTACAGTCTGCAGAGCCACACAAACGCAGGTGGTTAGACAGAACAGTCCCTCAGACAGAGCAGGGCACCGAGATGCTCAAGGATGGGAATGGTACAAGCCCATTTCTCCCTAATTCCACTCTGTCAGCATAGAAAGGAGGGGGAAAGCACTGATTTTCACAGAACAAAAGTTAAATGTGCCTCCTGCACAAAGCGTCTGAACCGCCATGCAAGACTTGCTCTGTTATTCACGGTAGTCCTGATCCATCTGTTTCTCCACGTAACACACGTACATACTGCTTGCACGGATCCAAGCACAAAGCAAGGCTGAGGTCTGCTCCTCAGGCCCTGTCTGCACACTCATGAGCAGAAGCCTCTGTAGATACCCCGCTGCAGGGGCAGAGAGTCAGGCAGGAACAGAGCCCCAGAGGGAAGGTGGCTGTGCTTTACCCCACAGTCCTGCGAAACAGAGTCCTACTTACTCATGGTGGCGAGATTTGGATGGTGGCGCAGATGTCGGCGCAGCCCGCGGGGTCATGAGAAGCTTTCTGAAGTCTTCATTGGTCAGCTTGGACCTTCAAGGAAGAAGGGAAACAGAAACCGTCATCCCCAACGATCTTCGGCAGCCTGACAGCTTCTGAGGAGGCAGAGGGTTTGCCAGCATGTCCTGCGTGATGGAGCAGGACACGGGGTCCCCGTGGAGGGAGCCCAAAGGCTGCGCTGCAGTAGTCATTCCCAGTCTCTAGATGGGAGAGCTGGCCTTGGGTCCCATAATCCTAGTCCAGTCCCACCCCAGTGCCCCAGTGCAGTACTCACTGGTGGAAGGAATGCGAGTCGTCCACATCATGGCCATCGGGGGCCAGAGGGTTGGAGAATGGTTCATCTGGGGGGACAGGAGGAAAGAGAGTGCTCCGAGTCAGCCTGCATGGCTTCAGCCCCACTCCCACCACCACGATCCCGATCCTCCCATCCCGGTCCCCGC